GTGATTCTAAGGTAACATTCTTTAGTTTTCTATGCATGGCAAGAGACGTGGAGCAAAATAAAACAGTGTACTGTATATTTCTTGTTCCTCTTGGTGACCTACTCCAATTTCTTCTGAATAAAAATACATTTTAGCCAAATGAGGCCTTGGCTAACAAACACAATCTGTTCCAGAGATCTTTTTTGTTTGCTAAAAAGTTTGTAGGTTGGATTTTCTCTTTTGGGGACAGTTCTAATGATTTCTAAAAGGAAATTTTGGGACCAATTTTTGTCAGCATGCAGGGGCTATATATACAGTACACACAGTAGTTGAACCTCAATCACTCAAACCTCCTTAAGTCAGGTGGTGCTGCTCAATCTGAACCTAATCCATTGCTGTACTGGGGTCAACTTGCATAAAGCAGTAAAATTGACTCTGTTATAGTTTTCGTTACAAAAGATGTAAGTTAAACTGTAAAACGTAGAAAGACGTCCCAAGTTAAAGTCCAGTCTTTAAATTAACAGTCAACTGGGGGGTCGTTTACACTGGTAGTTTAACGGAGATGGACAAATTGCTGGTCAAGTTTTGAGATACCTCCTGTACCTACCTATGTTGAATTTCTTCAAATCCATATGTGAATTTTGTATAGGGAATGCAGTATTAAAAGTCTCTATAATTCCAAAGCTGTCCCCCTCAAACCTCCATACCTCCAATTTTCTGGAAGGTATTTGGCCATTTTCTCATGAACATGGGCTAGAGAAAAGCAATAGAATTTCCACTCTATGTGTTATGAAAGAAAGTTATAGACTAAATTGGGTAAACTAACCCTTGCCTCCAACTTCAGCATCCTATAAACTCATTTAAGAAGCAATTCAATTCCTTCAATATCACCAGTTAAAATTTTCTGTGATTATTTCTCCCCCCCCCCCCCCAAAATGCTTGTTTCTGTAAATAAAAACCTTTCTAACTTAAATTTTTTCCTTGTCCCTTGAATTTTGACTTGAAGATGAGATAGAACTGTACAGCATTTATTTATTTCAGAGTTCTTCTGGGATTTGACATCTAATGGGCATTACAGGTGGTACCTTGCAACTCAACCTCCCACATTTTGACTCTCCTAGAATTTTACAGTCAAATTTGCAGGGAGATTGACTTGAAATTCAACCCTTGCCCCCACAATTTGACCTGCTTTGGCCACTTTTCTGTGTTTTTTTACTAATATTTTTGAATTTAATGAAGTGTTTTGCAATTTGTCCCTATAGTTTGGCAATGGATTGAGGTTGAATTGCAAGGTACCACCTGTACAATGTAATGTATTGCAAATCATTATACTGCTACAAAATCTGTATAGAGCAAAGTCCATAGTTGGGATCTGTATATATTTCCTTTTTTCATGGCCTCATAAATTTCCTTTATAGAAACTTGGGTAAAATTATGCACATAACTGTTTTATTTATTTTGAACACCACATAAGGAGATCATTAGGCCATCTTGATGAAGCTTCCCTAGAATGAAATGTCAGATGATAACTTATTGTCTTGAATTTGAGTAAATCAGATGAAGTCAAACAAACTTCCTGTTATAGACTTTGTATATGCAATGCCAAAAAGACATTCTTCAGTTTTCACCCAGCAACACACATTAAACAGACTTATTCCTATGAAATTTCTAGAGAGACGTGCAAAATNTTGTCTTGAATTTGAGTAAATCAGATGAAGTCAAACAAACTTCCTGTTATAGACTTTGTATATGCAATGCCAAAAAGACATTCTTCAGTTTTCACCCAGCAACACACATTAAACAGACTTATTCCTATGAAATTTCTAGAGAGACGTGCAAAATTTTACATTTTCACCCCAGGAAAAAAATTAAATAAAACTGCGGAATGAAGTCCAAAATATGCGTTTCAGACCTGCCATTGTTTTTGGATGGCCCACTTTATGTGAACCCCCAAAACCCTGGTTTTTTTTTTTCATTTACTCCCGAAGTTTTCCCAAGGCGGTTTGTCGCTGCTGATGCCAACAAGTCGCAGTCAGTGTAAAGTCACAAATGCATTTAGAGACGGCGTCTGCGCGTCGTCTTATGGAACCGAGACTAGAATAAGAGTGTGCGTAACCTTCGTCGAGTTGAACTGTTAGTTGTATAGTAGTATTAGTATAAAAAAAAATTTATTTTTGCAATCAACTGAATACTTGCCACCAAACAAGTTCAACCTGCAGGTCCATCATCAGCAAGGAGACCCTGAAAAACCTTTCATTGGATGAAACCTGTATAAACCAAATACTGTAGATTCATGTGCATGACATGACCTCATTCATTCACAGCTCTGTTATATTTAAAAAATATTTGTGAGGAAACTGAAATAATATTGTGGCTACTGGGCATATGGGCCTAGAAAAAATGAAAAGTGAGAGTTTAGCAGTTGAGAACAATTATTAAATGGAGAGAAAACCCTATATATACTTGTATATGCTGGAAGCACGCTAAAATTTATTGTACAGAGAGAAAAATTGGAGATAAGATCATTGTAGAGAGTCCACCAGTATAAAGAGATTTTTTACTTAGCGGTGTTCAAGTCAGGTCAGTTAACCTGTTGATTAACCCTTGGATGGCAGAAGGTTCTTTACAATTGCACAGCAGAGTTGGGATATTTTTGGGGGTTGGCACATTTCAGTTTGACCCAAGGTCACTGAAATGCACGCAGGTTGAGAAGGCCTAAGTTGAACATAATTGTGGAAAGAATTAATTAGTTTTTTGGCCCACAGAGAAGGCTTGTTTTATACTGTGGCCCTTGACCACTTTTGACCACTTTTTGGGCACCAGTCCTCTATATAGGTGATGCTCACTATTACAGGGCAGCCTTTTTTGAGGAAAAATTTTCTGCCTACAGATTAAAAAAAACATATCAGACTTTTCCCAAACTTGGGCCCTGATTTCATTATAATTTTATGTCTTGTTTTTCAATCTCAGTAATCTTGGGCACAAAATTTTGCAAAAATATCCCAACTTTCCTATACAAAAGTGCTAAAAGGGGAGGTGGGGGGGGGTATACCAAAAACCATGACTCTATTCCATACCATACAACAGGCACTTGCTTATCCCTTGGATAGCAGAGGGTTCTTTCTCAGTGCGCGGCAGTCAGGATTTTTCTGGGGGAGGGGGGGGGGCGGCGCATTTCAGTTTGACCCAAGGTTACTGAAATGCACCCAGGTTGAGGAGGCCTAAGTCATTGGAAAATATCCAGGAGGCAAATTTTCTTTTGTTTCCAAGATTTTCCCATGCAAATCCTATGCCAGGAATGCAGGAAAAAACGCCACCCAGCAAGGGATTTTTTTTTAATCTTCATTGAAAATTTTCTGCAGGATTAGAAAAAAATCTTGGAATTTTCCCTGACTTAGCCCTATTGGTAAGAAAGTAGGTTTTTTTTTATTCCCAGTGCCCAGTGGCACAAAGTTTTGCAAAAATATCCCAACTTTGCCGCACAAGGGTTATACACCCCCGCCCCCTGTTCCTCTCTATATGGTGGTTCTGACTACAGCACATCATTTTTTAAAAGCAAAAATTATCTGCCTGCAGGTAGAAAATAAAATCAGACTTTTTTCCCCTTTTTGGCCTTGGTTATAAATATTTTTTGTTTCAGTGTTCTTGGGCATACAACTTTGCAAAAATACCCCAACTTTGCCACAAAAGTGGAAAAAGGGGAGGTGTGGGAGGAGTGAGGACTGAGGAGGGGGATTACACCCCCAAGTGGGGAAATTGGTGCACACTGGGGATATGTTTGTAATTCTTCACAGTGACCCTGCTGTGCGCCTGAAGTGTACCAAAGTTCTTCTGTTGCACATGCATATCCCTATAATGTGCACCAATTGTGTGTTCAAACCAGGATTACTCAGGGTCACATTTGTAAACAAATGAGTTACACCAAGGTTACAGTTGGTGCAATTGTGTGATAATCCTGTTATGTCACATTCGTGCACCAAATGCAGCCCAGGAATGCTAGCAACATTTTGTCTACAGATGAGGTGCATGTTTGTAACCCCAGAATAGCCCATGTGCACTAATTGTGACCCCAGTGTGCACTATTTGTGGGGTCACACAAAGAATAGCTCCCCTACAAATCATGCCTCTATTTTATAGCATTCAACAGGCATTTGCTTATATATATACACCCAGGGCTGGATTAAGGTGGGTGCTATTGATGCTGCAGCATTAGGCCCACAGGAAAAATAGGCCCCTGGAGAATTTGAAAAAATTTCTCAATTTGGGAAATCCAAATTTTTTTCAATTATGAAAATCTGGCAAAAATGCTGCAGCATTAGGCCCACAGGAAAAATACGCCCCTGGAGAATTTGAAAAAATTTCTCAATTTGGGAAATCCAAATTTTTTTCAATTATGAAAATCTGGCAAAAACAGGAAAGAGGCAAAAGTTTTCATGCTGAAAAAAAACAGGCACCAATAAATCAATTTCAGCACTCTGCACATATAAAAACCATTCAAGAGGAAACCAGATGTAGGACATTAAAATCAGTTGAGAGCTTGAAAAAGGAAAAAAAAAGTTGAAAACAATTTCTGCATTGAAAAAGGAAATCACAGCCAATATGGCCAGAAACAGGAAGATGCAGTGACAAGGAATCATAGCCAGGAGAAAATTCAATCAAAGACTTCAATTCCAACCATGCCACGCTGCCTGACAGGATAAAATTTCCACTGCTGTTCCCACTCAAAAAGCCTTTGGGGGCCTAAACATTTTTCTGAAGTGATTTCTTGCTGGTGTTTAAAAAAATTATGCTTTTTTATTGCAAAGGAGAATTAGGCCCATTTTTTGTGCAGCATCAGGCCAAAATGTGGTTTAATCCAGCCCTGTATACACCCCCTGTTGGTGCTGGGGGTGGTGCTCACTATACACAGCACAGCACAGCACAGCACAGAAAATGAGAGTACACAAACACACACACACACACCCACACCCACACCCACACACACACGAAAACACACACATGCACAGGATGAGTGTATGTGCATGCAGGCATCCGCACCGACGCAGCAGGTAGGCATCAGGAGCGCCTGGCCCGCGGCGGCGTCAGTCGCCCGTCATCTCGCGCGGGCAGCCATGGGCTTGACGTGCAATAAGACGATCCCGCTTTTTGTGCTCTTGGTGCTGGTGTGCGGGTTCGCGGTGCTGGAAGCCGGCCCGAACCCGAGGCCCAAGCCGCGAGCCAGGCCCAACAAGAACAATAATAATAATAATAATAATGGCAACGGGAATAAGCCCGCCGACGACCAGTACGACTACGAGAACTACGACTACGACTACTACAACTCGCTCACGCAGAAGCCCAATGCACCAGGTATATATGTTTTATTTATTTATTCATTTATCTTCTTTCAGCAGAGGGAAAAGTAAAGAGTAGTATTTCTAATTTTGGCATGCCTCGAACCCATTTTTTTTAAATATTTTAAATCAAATGAAATCGAGCAAGATGCTGCCTTTTTCTTAGGATTTTATCCGTCTGAAATTATAATTAGAGAGCTTTTTGGAGATTAATTCGTGAATACAGTTCAGTCCTTTTTAAAATTCGCCGAAGTGAATTTTTATCCAGGAAAAGTTGCATCATGCGGATCTAATTTATTTAAATTTTCTCTGCCTTAATTATTTTCTGAACACACTAGAATTTTTATATTTTTTTTTCAATTTTTATTCTGAGAAAGCAGATCGGGATTATCTAAGCTTTATACATAAAATGTGTAATTTTTGCCGCCTAAAAATGATTTAACAGGGATCCAAGGGTACGTAAGAAACCTTTGAATGCTTAAACTTTTTCTCCGCATTATAGAACACCGAAAAATTATTCCTAGAAAACTTAATTATGACGTTCTTTAATTACTTGATTTGTTTTGTGTTGAGATGCTCAATTTCCGAACATGAGGGGGAAGTTTTTGAAGAATTCTTGCTTCGTTTCAATTCTTAAAAAAAGAAAATTGATCTTGATGTGTTCGTAATTTTCTCAGTCTGTAAAAATGCATCCTTGGAAAATATCCTTATATTGGGAAAAACGTTTTGAATCCCCAGAAATTTTTCTTCAATTTTACTATTCCAGTTTGTCCTGATGATCCTTGAATTGTATACTTTATCCTCCTGAGGAAGTATTTGCTATACAGGATTTTGAAAAAAAGGAGCGAAAATACGGTAATTTTAATTTTGACGATTTATCCATCATGAAACGTTGATTGTATAATTTGCTTTGCCTAATGATGCTGTGGCAAATATTAGAAATATTCCCTGAATTTCGATTTGTTTGAAAGTTCATTTTTAAAATTTGTATTAGACTGCTCAAATCTGTTATTTTCTCGCTTTGGAAGCAAGGAATTGATCCTCTGAAGGCTGAAATATATTGATGAAGCCTTCAATTCTATGATGGAGGAAGGTTATTGGAAGGGAAATATAATCCATATAGTGGTGGGTGCCATGTCATCATGTGTCAGTGTCCTGGATTTTTAACCTCAAAAAATTCAAGCTTAAATTCAGAGACTGCTGATGAAGCATAATTTTGACCACAGTTAAGTAGATTTTCTGAAATTACTGTTCAAAGGTATTCATGGATGAATTTGTATAAAATTGTCCCTCTTAATACAGTTGAACTGGGATCAATGGAATTATCTAACTTTATCCATACTGGAGTACCTTTGTGTAAAAATTAAATGAAATGAACTCTTTTAAAATGAAATGAATCAAAATAAGGGTTCCGTTTTATTTTAAAATTCAGTAACCGTAATGATTGACTGTCAGCATTATTATGAATAAGTTTGGTTTTAATATTTGTCATCTCAAACTTTGTACGCAAATCTCGAAAATCTAGTTCTTACTTCAGTTTGAAAGATTCGATAACAACCTTTCAGTACAGTATTTGCTGAAATGTCTCCTTGCTGGTCGTATAACTATGAACAATCTTTTGGAATTATTTTTCAACCCAAAAGAACTGTGTTGGACTCTATGGCCAGATTTTGTGTGTTTGATTCCAAAGAATTATTGCGAAATATTTAGCCTAAAACACCTTTTTATTATGCTGTAGATGCCCCACTAGAGGTCCTCAGCATTCAAAAAAAAGTATGGTTCATTTCCTGCAATTAATAGATATATAAGCTTCCATTTGACACCAGCCATTCTTTACAATATATACAGTGCAGTTAAAATTTTAATTTTGACGATTTATCCATCATGAAACGTTGATTGTATAATTTGCTTTGCCTAATGATGCTGTGGCAAATATTAGAAATATTCCCTGAATTTCGATTTGTTTGAAAGTTCATTTTTAAAATTTGTATTAGACTGCTCAAATCTGTTATTTTCTCGCTTTGGGAGCAAGGAATTGATCCTCTGAAGGCTGAAATACATTGATGAAGCCTTAAATTCTATGATGACGGAAGGTTATTTGAAGGGAAATATAATCCGAATAGTGGTGGGTGTCATGTCATCATGTGTCAGTGTCCTGGATTTTTAACCTCAGAAAATTCAAGCTTAAATTCAGAGACTGCTGATGAAGCATAATTTTGACCACAGTTAATTAGATTTTCTGAAATTACTGTTCAAAGGTATTCATAAATGTCTTTGTATAAAATGTTCCCTCTTAATACAGTTGAACTGGGATCAACAGAATGATCTAACTTTATCCATACTGGAGTACCTTTGTGTTCATCCCTTTAAAAAATGAATCAAAAGGGTGTCATTTTATTTCAAAATTCAGTAACCGTAATGATTGACTGTCAGCATCATTATGAATAAGTTTTGTTTTAATATTTGTCATCTCAAACTTTGTACACAAATCTCGAAAATCTAGTTCTTACTTCAGTTTGAAAGATTCGAAACCAACCTTTCAATACAGTATTTGCTGAAATGTCTCTATAGTCAAATAACTATATATGAACAATCTTTTGGAATTATTTTTCAATCCAAAATAACTACAGTATGTGCTGGGACTCTATTTGGCCAGATTTTGTGTGTGTGATTCCAAAGAATTACTGCGAAATATTTAGCCTAAAACACCTTTTTATCATGCTGTAGATGCCCCACTAGAGGTCCTCAGCATTCAAAAAAAAGTATGGTTCATTTCCTGCAATTAATAGATATATAAGCTTCCATTTGACACCAGCCATTCTTTACAATATATACAGTGCAGTTAATATAAAAAAATATTGCATTTTGTTTTCATTTGAGACCTGTTATTTAAGCTTTTTTATCCTTGTATTTGGCTTGAGATTTCATTTGTTTAGGGCTACCCTGCATAAGAAGATTTTTATATACCCAGCAGCTAGTACATCTTTAAAGACTGAGTAAAATTTTTCTGATTGTCCCCTGACACCTGACTCTTACCAGAGATCAGCCTCAACTATAGTTATTAGAAGTTTATTATAAAGCAAATGTGGTAAAAAAAAAAGGTCCATAGATACCAAATTGTGAGGAAAAATTACAACATGTTGTGTGTTCTGCAAAGTTGACTATAGCTTCAATATATGTGCTTGAAACTTGAAACATAATTTTGAACTGTGTCTGGTTTTTTTCAAATATTTATTGATTCAATAGGCAAAAAGCCTACTGCTGCACCACCACAACCACCACCACCAGAAGACCTTGACAGAGAGGAACCAGCTCCTCCACCTGGTCCCACAAGAGGAGACACTGCATCAGGTGAGTTTACCAGTTTAAAAAGTTTTCCAGAAATTTCAGAAATTTTTTTCTCGATGAATCGCCCCAATTTCTAATCTGGTCGACCGCAAAAATGGTTGGCATCTGCGTTTTAGCATCCATGAACATTTTTAGAATATATAAGAGCGACACCTATGTGCGCGTGAGAAACAAAAAAGTTATATGCGCGTTCAGATTTGTACGAGTGCGCCACTTGAGCAGTTTTCGAAACACTGTACATGTTTTTCGATTCGGACTTCGGAGTGACTGTGAACTTATTTGGCAAAATATATTCGAATCCGTATGAAGGATCACTCACGAAACTTGTTGCTCAAAAATATATGCCAAACTAAGAAGCGGCAAAACTTGTATTGCCAAATTAATTGGATTCCAGAGATCCTATAATTCCTATGAACAGATAAGGATTTAAAGGTCTCAAAAAATCTCTCATTAAAGAAATCGTATCTTCTAAAGCCAGAATATAGAAATAAAAGTTTTTGCTTACATTTCGATACCATACAACAAATTAAAAATAAGTTATTTCCTGACAATTCAGGCACATCGAAAACGTTCGTATTAAAACCGATTTTTTAATAAGATTGAAGTTAAGCTGCAGACTTGTCGGGTTTATTTCAGGAAAGCATATTTTCAATAGAAAGGTGTTTAATTTAAACATTAAAGTCAATCTTTGAGGTTAGAAAATTTTCCCTTCCAATATCCGAGATCAAATTATTTGGAAGGAATTGCAGATATTTTTGCACATTCGCTAAAGCTTATACTGGTGTAGCCAGGCTAATGAAGACAAAATGTCAAATTATTTCATTGGAGGAGGAATTTGAAGATTCCAGATAAGTCACTGCTGGAACCAAAATGATAACTGGTAATAAAACAAAAATTGTATTCATTCACATGCTCAAAAAATTTTATATTCATACACTAAATGTATATCAGTCACATGTGCACAGTTTAGGAATCGTTTAATATAATTTCACAGAGAACATAAATTTAGTGCTAAAATCTAAACTCTAAAGCATTTATTGGTAAAATAAATAAATAAACCAGACAAAAAATTAGCCAAAAAATGTACAGTACCACCATAATTGAAAAACAGGGCATAACATTTCAAAGGTTCACAAAAAATGTGTACTGTACATGTGTGGATATTCGAATTTGGCAAGAGAAAAATGACCAATCAATAACCCAAATCACAAACAGCATGGGCTTACAAATTAATCAAGTGCACACTTTGACATACCAAGCATACCTTGTGGTTTTATGTTTTAAAAAATAAAAAAAGAAGGATGAGCAGCACATCCTGGAAATCATGCACAACATTTTTTGAAAGATTTTTAGCATTTGTAATGATAGCTTGTCAGAAATTGAAAGACCATCCATAATCTTACAGTGTATATTTGTTCTCAAAGGACCAGTTTTGACCTGAAATTTATAAATTTAATGCAAGGGAAACACTGAAAGAGTCATACACACACAGAGACTCAAAGACAAAATTAACTGGTATACTGTATCAAATTGTAGTACATGTATTGGATTTTCAATGGAAAATTAATATGTCAGGGCTTTTCAACCATTGTTACAGTATATGCATAAATTACTAGGTGGAGTCACCATATCCCCAGTTGGCATGAGGATGTGTTTGTTTGAAATTGATCATTCTTTCACATTTTAACCCTTGGGTTGCAGAGGGTTCCTGGCTGTCCTGTGGCAAAGTAAGGACTTTTTT